AAATACACCTCTCGCGTGCGCACGCTCTCCTCTGAATCGTAATTTCGAATCGCTTTGTGCGTCGCGGGGCGCGATAATTAGCACGGGAATTATCTCCGCGGATCTTTAGAGGTGAACCGCTGCCTCGAGAAGTGTGTCATAGCGCCACGATATAATTCCGCCTAGTCTAAATACACGAGAATACGTGCGAAAGCGGATCGAGAGGGATCTCGTTTACTTCCACAATCGTTACGGCCCTCTAAATGAAATTCTAATCTAAAACTCGAGGAGCGATCCCGGCGAGGTGAAGAAACCGGATAGACTAGCGGGACTCTGACTCGAATTTGACACGTGCCACGGCGATCGGAAATCCACGGAGGATGAGAACCTCTTTCGAGAGGTAACGCACGACTCCGCGGCACGCAACGGCGCATCCGTGGCTGCTCCTCTGGCAGGTGTATGAAGCGAGAAATAAAAGAAAAACGGCGCCCGCGGAGGCTGACTGCCGAGAGGGAGAGGGAGAAGGAGAGGAAGAGAGAAACGGAGAAAGAGAGAGAGAAAGAAACGGAGAAAGAGAGCAGGCTCGCGAGAAAGAGAGAGAAAAAAGATTCGATTTATGGACTCTTGCATTACATCCGAGCGATTAACCACTAACGATTTCGTACCGTCGCCGCCACGACGTCCAGGCACGTGGTGCAGACGTACGTAGACAGAATCAAGCCGATCGTCATTCTCTCTCTCTCTCTCTCTCTCTCTCTCCCTTTCTATCGTCAATCTATCGGCGACAACGGCATCGCGACGGTAACTCGTCTTTCTCTCTGGGAAGCCTCCCCGTCGGCGTTCACCCTCGCATACACACGAGCACGCATACGCATACATACATACGTTCGCTCACTCCATGCACACATATACACACACACACACACACACACACACACACCACATACATACACATCGCTCTACCGTCCACACTGTTGCACATGACAGCGGCGGACATCTCTGTAAACGTGTCTAGGTTATGTCATTCGTACTCCGGCACGGTGTACGCAGGCCAGCGAGGTCCCGCCGACGGAAAGAAAACTGTGAACGTAAGCGATGTCGACGACGACGGCAATGACAATGACAGCGACATCATCGCTGTGAACGACGACGTCGACACCAATGACGGCGACACGACGAGGATAACGAAGAGAATACGGGGAACACGAGGCAGAGCCGTTGCTCTCGCGTTAGTCGTCGCCGTCGACGGGGCAGCACTGTCCAGGGCACTGACAAGCGAACCAAAACACAGAGAGAGCGAGCGCAGGGTAGTCGAGGCGGCCGACGGAGACGATCGTCGAACGCGCGACTCCTCGCCGCGTTCGCAGACTCCATCGACCGAGCGAGGCCGCAAGAGGCGGACGTCGACGACAACCTCGACGTCGGACACTCCGTGAACACGCGTGCACGGCCTTTAAATACGCACACCGCTCCGGATAATACACTAGACACACCAGGGAGAGAAAGAGAGAGAGAAAGAGAGAGAAAGAAAGAGAGAGAAGGCACAGAGAGTGGGACAGAGACAGAGAGATGTCCGTCGCTTTATTTTCCACAGGGGCCACGCACGGCGCACGGTCGCGATATCTCGTATGCGCGAGAGACACGGCACTTGGACGACGCACACTCACCAGGCTGCTTATTGGCGATCTTATTGAAGCAGTTCTGAAAGACCTCGTAGAGATGCATCGGCTCATCGTCGCTGGCCGCCATGTTTTCGCACGAGACGTGAAAACGAGTGGACGTCCGTGGTCGAGGCGAATGGGCACGGTTTCGCGGTGCGGCCGCGCGCGGAGCCACCCTCCTCCCGCTACGGTCACCCACACTACTGAAGTGTACCGCTTCATGGACGCGGCTCTTATATCGCGCAAGTAGCGCCACCGTGCGTTCGCACCCAACGCCGGCGGCGATGCGCGCGATCTTCGATTCGACGCGATCTTCCATCCCGTAAACACAACGAACTCCGAGCGCGACTTCGCGTTTGCCTGTTTTTATTTTGATAATCTCGGGTAAACATTATTCTCGCGTATCACGATTAAGAATTGCGTTTGACTATCTGGCATATTGTGTCCCGAATATACAAACTATAAATCGTGGATTTGTTTAGCTAACGTCACGTGCGTCTTGTTTGAAGGCAATTTTCTTTTAAGCACGATTGTCAGTTATCGGGATTTCATAAATGAAAAACTTTGGAGGCTTTCTCTCTCTCTCGTGTCTACAATACGCGAAGTAAGCTTGGCGTAAATATTGGAGTAAGAAATACAAACAACCCAGACAATGTCCAAAATCGAATCATAAGACGTCTTTAAAACATCTTTAAGACATCTTTAAGACACGTTTATAAGATATTGTCTTAAAGACGTCCTAAACACGTCTTATGACTCGATTTTGGACATTTGTGCTGGCTGGGAATTTATTGCGCTTACGTGCTAAACGAAATGCGAAATAATTTATTTCTATTTCTTACCTTAACTTATGCCAAGTTTACTTCCGCGTATTATAAACGAGTCTGCATATTTATCCGAAGGATGTATCGATAAAGTCACTGTCTGTTGTTATTGATTACTCACCGATTGGTTCCTCGATGAGTGGAAAATATAAAATACTGCTATTTAAACTCCAAGCTGCCATGACTCGTGTAATGCTTCGCTCGATGCTCTCGGTGAGTTGCTCCTCGAAATGTCCACTTTCGTGACGACTCACGCAGCACAACTACACTGTCAGTAGTCCCGACGATCATATGCGCGCAAGATTTGTTCAAAAATGTCAATGGACATAACGTGACGTCAGGATCGCGCAATATTTCACTCCCGACAGATCGTCCCGCAAAATGTCTGACGACTCCTCGCGACAAACGCGCGATATTCACTTTCGGCAGTGCCACCGATACGCGCGCGATTTCTCTCATGGATCCACAACGTGAATGCCGTCGTTCAACTACACAAACGTGCCGCCATAACATGGCGTGATCGGGCGACATCTCGGCACTGCACAGGCGGATTCGCACTGATACTCGCTTCGGGCCGCCATCTATCGACGCCTCGTCACGACGAACGCGCGAGATTCATTTTTGGCTCTTCCCATGATGCGCGCCCGAGATTCTTTCGATACAGAACGCATCGGCGTTCGCGAACTACAAAAGTGCTGCGACAATCGGACCACATCTCGGCACTGCCGACACACGGATTCGCGTCGATACCCGGTCGACATCTACCGACGTCTCGTCGCGGTGAACGCGCGAGATTCATTTTCGCCCTTCTCGAATAATTCGCGAACTTTCGATTAGTTGAATTCGCGCTATGTCTCCCCGAACATGAACTGCGCAGTGATTTGTTGCGTGACCAATTCGCAGCGATTGAGTTTCTCGAAGTATCTCGATCGCGCAGCGCTTCACTCGGCATTCCCGACAATCATAGCGACCGTTACCCGAATATCACATCAAAGACAGTCTAACCATGTTTCGCTATGATAAACATATGAGATTACTTTTCCCCGCAATAAATAATGTCCGTGTGAGATCCTTTACGCGAATCTAAAATGAGAAATACAGCGATGTGATCACGGGATCGTCGTAATGGACGCGATATTTTCACTCAGCGCTCTCGGCTCGTACCCGAATTTCTTGTGGTCATCCAACGAAATCCTTACACGACAAATGCGCGACGCTTACTTTCAGCACTCTCGATTACCGTACGGATACGAGACTTACCTCGGGTGAGCCGAAATCGCGTGAGATGCGGTACGGTTTAACGAACAAACGTGTCACGACCCGTCTCGTCCAACCGACTAAGCTAGTAGACGGTTCTCGAATTAAAGTATCTGTTCCACGTACAGAAAGTGTAGCGCAGTGCAGTTAAATGAAACAGCCAATAATTTACATACAATTTATATATTGAAAATTTTATAATTCAAGGCGGAGGATATTGCTCGAGATGCTCTTAATATGCGAAATATTACGATAAACGAAGTCAACAAAGAGTAATCGATGATTATATACCACGATTGTTACACCGATCATTTGTATTACTGGTAACTCAGATCTGCCAATCACGAGTCTCAACGGAGGTCACGTGATTATTTGAATGTAGCTTGGTGTCGTTTTGCATGAATTCGAAAGTGAAACGCGACCGCGACGCGTTCGTGATATCTTTCCGCGTGTCGAAAGTGTATTTCGTGCGCGAAGGAGTGTCGAATTGTATGACGGGCGATCATTTAAATCAGTGCCCGGAATTATTTCCACATTTCGGGCAGATTTCAGAGTTAACGCCTACTCCCTACTAACTACACACACCACACACACACACACACCCCAAATATTTTTTTCCCCAATAATTTTTATTTTTATAAATAAACATTTTTTATTTGTAACTATATATATATATATATATATAT